ATATATATATATATATATATATATATATATATATATATATATATATATATATATATATATATATATATATATATAAAACAAGTGCTTACGTTGTTTGAAGGAATGGTACACGTTGAGTAATGTGAGATGATCACCATCAATATGTGCAAATTTCATTTTTGCGTCATCCGCGGCCTTCTTTGATTCGTTCGGTCTCACAAAGCACTGTGGGACTAATACCATGTCAATCGTCAATATACTACCATGTTATCTTACCACAATTTTAACTCTATTATATTATTTCTAATTCTTATTTCTTCTGTATAATCTTCATATTATAATTACATGACCTATATTTTATAATTATTAACAGTGTGTATCAATAAAATCAACTATCATATCAAATAATATCATATAATAAACTACTAAACAGCAAATAGATACATAGCAAACCCCAATACATTACCTGAGAGCATAGCAGTGATGCTAAGTATCTCATTGCTGCAATTATGATTGCAAGATGCTATGAGCATTTTTGCCAGCTGGGGATCTAATGGAAATTCTGCCATAACTGCTCCAAGATCTGTCAAGTTTCCATCATCGTCGAGTGCCGCCAAATAATTCAAAAGCTCTAAAGCTCTCATAAGCGTTTCAGGTGCAGGTGGATCCATAAAATCAAAATGCACCTGTTACAGAATGTTAAATTCAGCAATATTACTATATTATAAAATTCTAATCCTAAATAATACGCTAATATGCAATCGAATAAGTGAGATTATGGCACGTACCAAATCGTCAATACCAAGTTTCTTCAATTGCAATACAACACTCCCGAGATTGGATCGTAAAATCTCAGGATACGTATTATCTTGCATTTCATTCTTATATGCCTTTTCTGTGTATAATCTAAAACATTTCCCAGGTCTTGTTCTCCCAGCTCGACCAGCTCTTTGTTGAGCCGAAGCCTTACTGATAGGTGACACTAGAAGAGACTCTACACGAATTCTCGGGTTATATACCTATCAACAAAAATACTCAATATTAATTCAGTATTAACTTTGCGGTGATAACACGTTTCAATGAAATTTAATCAAAACGTTATATTTACTTTTTGTTTGGCGAAACCTGGATCTATTACAAAAACGACACCATCAATAGTTAGTGATGTTTCTGCAATGTTAGTCGAGACCACGACTTTACGACCGATAGCACCGTTCGGTTTAGTTTGTGGAGCAGGTTCGAATATTCTTTGTTGCAGATTTGGTGGTAACGTCGAATATAGTGGTATGCATTTCAATTCACCAACTTCAGGTCCCAGATTGTCCATCTCTCTCTTAATCCTCTTGCAAGCTTCCTCAATTTCCTCCTGACCAGTCAAAAATAGTAACAGATCTCCTGAAATCTCCTCGCACATCTGAATTTGAATAACTGTTCTTATCGCGGCTTCCAGATAATCCCTTTCCGGCTCTGGTGTGTAAAATATCTCGACTGGATGAGTTCTACCAGGCACATTCATAAGGGGTGCATTGTCGAAGTATTGTTGAAATTTGCCAGCATCCAAAGTAGCACTCATGATCACAAGTTTCAAATCTGGTCTCTGTTTGATCACTTCCTTCAGAACACCCATGAGCAAGTCAGTAGCTAATGTTCTTTCATGAGCTTCATCGAGCAGTATCACCTGATATGCATCCAACATAGGGTCAGACATGCCTTCACGAAGTAACATACCATCGGTCATGTATTTCAGCACAGTCCTCGCAGTACTACAATCCTCAAAACGAATGCTATATCCTACTTCTTGACCTGTTAACAAGCCACATTGACTTTACTGATTTATTTCTCTACATATACACAAGCTGCCCAGACGTTCGCGATATTCATTTTACTCGGAGATTCTCTGAGCAATTTGGAGACTATTTTCCCTTATGGACATTTTCAATCTCCAAAGTCATTATTCATGATGACTTTTCAATTTTCAGCATATTTTGTAATAAAGAATTTAAGTAAATTTCTGTTAAAGGAAAGTCCAGTTAAAACTGATCAAAGAAAATAATTGTGTTATCCATTTAATCGCTCAAATTTCACTTTGCGAAAAATTTGAAACTTAAAACTTTAAAACTATTAACGGCTCAACGATTTCGCAGAACGAGAATTTACCCTAAATTGCTCAAAGAATTTTTCAATAAAATTACGGTTACGATACAGATAGATACACACACACACACACACACACACACACACACACACACACACACTTAATTGTAAAACAATTTAGACACAATAAAGTCAGAATCTCACTAAACTCTCAAAATTGAAAGTCAACGGACTTGTGCAGTAATTATTATCATCAAGACTTTTGTGTCTGCAATCATCTTAATTTATGGCGTTAGAAACGAGAAAATATATGCTAAAAATTCCTACAATATATATAGAAATAAAAATATGTATCTGTAAAATAACATTTGCTATCAATCAAATAGATGCAAAATAATCCGAACATTTTCTTTTTGTTCTAACAATCAATAAATAGCCATAAAATTAATATAATAAAATTAAGAGGTAAGGTAAGTTTAAAAAATAGGTATTTATTATATGTCAATTTTACGATAATTTGTTGATTATTAAAGCAAAACGTCCGGACTATTTTACAAATGTACTCAATCGATTGCAAATGTACTCAATCGATTGCAAATATCATCTTATGGCTATATCTTTTTACTTCAATGTATTTTGCAAGCATTTCTATTGTATATTTTTTCGTCCTTGACGTCGTAAATTAAGAGTTCGGAACTAGGGATTATAAACTTATTTGGATTCCTATCAGAATAATTCAGTTATTCCCTAGATTTCTATTGCGTTTTCTGATTCCGATCGGAATCCGATAAAGTCCATGATAGCAGTGCGATTTTGTAACTCATTAACTATTGTTAACGAGTTGTCGTTAACGTTGCGTAGATATATGTTAGAAAAAATGTGCACAGCACTAGTCACTGTCGTTAATATTATTAACGAGTTACAGAATCGCAGAAGCCTTAATTATATTATTATTACACGAGCCTGTCAGAGTAATGATCTCCATTTTGATGCATTGATAATTTCTGAGATACAAATAGGTTTTGTTCAAAATAAATGAATTTTGAATAACCAAATGGATAACAGAATTGTTTTGTCCGATCAATTTCAAGTGGACTTTATTTCAAGGAAAATTTAGAACTTTGATATATATTGACTCTCAATTTTGCCGAAATTTGACAATTTTGAGCTTGGAGAGCTTCAAATTTCATTCTGTCTAGACCATTCTGCTTAGTGCTTTGACAAGACTCGATTGACGAAAAAATAATTACCTAAGGCAACATCCATTTCTTCCGAGACTCTTTGTGCCACGCTCATCGCTGCGACTCTTCTTGGTTGCGTACAGGCGACTCCTTTGTTTCCAATACCTCTGGAATACTCCACGCACCATTGTGGTATCTGTGTAGTCTTGCCAGAGCCTGTCTCACCAACGAGAACGATACATTGATGTTGGTTCAATAATCTCATGAAGTCGGCACGATACTCAAAAACTGGCAGAGTTATTCTCTTCTTGTAAAGTTCATAGTATCTCGGTGTATACGGCAACATGGTGTATGGATTGAACTGTACTTGGCTCTTCGTCGCTGTAGACGCTGTAGTCGTCGGACTGTTATTGGATGTTGTCGAGCCATCTCTGCAAAAGATAACCATCAATAAGAGATATATAAGAGATATATAAGAGATATATAAGAGATAATAAGAGATAATAAGAGATATATAAGAGATATGAGATATATAAAAAATATATAAGAGATAATAAGAAATATATAAGAGATATATATTCTGCTCTTACATGAGTAAAAGCATGTAACAAAGGATATTTCAAGATAGATTCACACCAGAAAAAGTTACTTAATTATGATAATATGAAACTATGATAATAATAAAAATGTTCTTAGCAAAACTACAGAAAATAACTTGCTGAATGTTCTTAACAAAATATACTTTTAACAATGTAAAAAATGTCACTGAAAAGTTAGAAAGACTATTTACTGTAATAAAACTGCTATATTTTCAACAAAATTGGAGAACTTCAAAAAGTTGACGACATTGTTCTTAGCAAACATGTGCTATATACAAATTAGACAATTTTTATAGACAATCAGTCAAGACAAAACTTTTTGTTATTAATAGTGTTGTTAATACATATTTAGTTTAACTTTCTGCCAATAACATTTGCCTTCAACATTCTTTAGACCGTCAAGTGATAGGTTGCAGAAATGTTTTTGGCAATATTGATGACAAAACTATCAGTATGTTTCTAGCAACTTTTGTCAATAACATTCATTTTCCATAAAATATTATGAATGAATATTATTAGGATTTTTTTATTCTAAAATGAAATTTTAGAATAATTCTAAATTAATAATAAAATATGACTGACTTGCAACTTGTTGAAAACAATTGTTTTCAACAATTTTAAATAAAATTGCATCTATCAATAACGCTAGTAGAAACACATTTTATTAGCAACGTTACTGCTGGTGTAAACTGTTTTCACGCGTACACGAAAGGTGCGCGACTATGATCGTGTTGAGAATATATCCTCATGCATGCGCGCGGGGAAAGGATAAACACGAAAGTGTACGAGGACATGTGTGTTGGCATAAACGCGAAGTCGCGCACGAGAGACTGGCTAGTCTCTAGAGGGTCGTTGCGAGCGTAGCGAACGCGGCTACGGATTCGGAGCCTGGTTGTCGGCGGAAGTAGTGAGATGCAATTTCAACAAGACCGTCGTGCCGATCGAACGTATACGACGTCTAATGATCGCGCCAACTGTACAATAGGCATATATGCCAAGATTCTGAAAATGCATGTATATGGTGTTGCATTCGGCAAACATCGGCGATCGTGATTAGCCCGCGACGATGCACATGGCAAGGAGTCCCGCCGCCACAAACGACGACGACAACGACGGCGACGGTGACGACGACTCCGTTGTCGCGTACCGCGAATCGAACATCTGCGACTGCACTCACGCTCTTCGTTTCACGTAAGGGTCCACAACCTCGATCCTGCGCTTGGACATAATCCTCCGTTACACGGAACGCAGCGAAAAACAAATCTGTTTACGGTACTCCAGCCAAAGCGTCCGTCAAGATGGCAAGCACCAGCAGCGACTCGAGGTTTCCCCTCTCCTTGTAGTGACAACGACCAACAGTAGATGGCATAACCGTTACAAATCTCGCGAAATTGCTTCAGGATGCCGCCACTGTGGCGTACTGAAGAGGTGCTTTGTATCGTTTAGATTTCTGCGAAGATTTCTAAATGATATCTAATCATTTAGATTTTTGTGAAGATATATATTTTCAAAAACAGTATATATATATATATATATATATATATATATATATATATACAGAATAATTCTAGGAACCGATTTGTGTTAAAAAAATCTGTATGATTCCATATATAAAAAATTTAGGATATGACTTTGGCATCACCATTTGAGATTGAACTGTTCAAATCATTAAGCGTATTCTTTACCAGAACTTGATCTAAAAAATTTGTTGTAAAATTTTTTTCCAAAATTAGGTTGTTTCAAGACTCTTCGAACTGTATAAGATGTGTATTATTAAAAAATATAAACTTATTTTTATATATTTATATACTTATATTTGATATATCTGTGTGTGTGTAACCATTATATATTATTTATAAATACTCTATATATTATCTGAAGATATAATCAATTTAAAAAGCAAAATATTATATAAATTAAATATTATATAAATTGAAGTTAAATATTGAGAAAAATATCTACTCTGTTTTTATCAAAAATTTTTTATAAATTAAGTTTATCAGTATAAAACAATATATTTAGAGAAATATGATTAAAAGATGCTATGTTACAAAAGCATATATTTTTATCCATTATAAAAAATTAATTTATCAAAATACATCATATCATCTTTATTTCCTTAGTTATTAAATTCTAACAAATGAAGTTATGTTCTGGCACGATTATTTATTAAATAACAAAAATATAAAATGTAACATCTATATTAAAATATAAAATATATATGTAAATATATATATGTAATATATATGTAAATATAAAAAAACGATAAAGATAGGCTTTGGCTCAATTATTTATTAAGTATAATAAAAATATAAAAAATGACATCTATACTATTTGTGTTAAATAAGTACATTTCTGACAACATACATGGCTTCATTGTCGCATCCAAATAATAAAATTGATCTGTTGATATCAATACTGTTTACTGGTTTATGCATAGCAGCACACAATGAGGTCACATTGACTTTCCCATTCGCACTAATCGTGTTCAACCAATGTGTATCTGTAGAATCTGATATTCCATATAAAATAGATATGACAGAATTAGCTGCTAGATGCAATATATTGCAACACAATAATAATCAAAATAGTTATTAATATATGAGCTCTTTATTGATTGCTTACCAAGTTTCAGTTTTGAACTTTGTGCATTATTCCAATGCCATAACTCTCCACTAACAGAACAAGTGAAAAGATTATCAGGTCTATCTTGATGAAAGAGTATCTCGCTGACGGATTTTGCGTGTGCATTGAGTTGCGATACCGGATAAGTATTGTGTCTTAAATCCCACACAGTCAAACTACCATCACCTCCACCAGCAACTACAATATGCCTTTGTGTAGGATGATGCGTGATACTTGTAGCTCCTATCTGTAAAAACATTCATGTTTCTTACAAAGTACTGTTTAAGAATCGCTGGAGATGTGTTTCAAAAATACCAGAGGGAGTAGTTTATAATATTTACAGCTTACTTTGACTTGATCAGAAAGCATAAAGGTAGTAGCTGGAATATCACGATCGTTTCTTAAATCCCAAACTTTCATATGTCCTCTTGAATTTCCTGTAAGCACTTCACTGTGTCTTAAGAAATCAACACAATATATGGAGCAGCTATCAGCATTTTCTGAAAATTAGAGAGTGATAAAATAGTTTTCTAAATATAATAGCTAAACAAAGTAAACATCTATTAGTATATCTTGTATTTATTAATAATATTTACCAATAATCCTAACTGGCTTCTTCTCTGCAGCTGTGAGAAGATTAAGCTTTCCATCTTCTCCTACAGAAGCGATATCTTGTTCAAAGGTAGATAGTGCAGTACAAGAAGCATAATCTGTTGTTCTGTAAAATATATGATTAAAATACATGTCACAGTATTAGTCTCTAAGTTAAATAAAATCAAGTTTACTCACTGAAAATTGTGAATAAATTCCCATGACATATGTTCTTTAAATTCAGTATAGGTATCTTCGTTAATTTGCAGCAGCCTCACTGAACCCAAAGATGAAGAAGCCACAAAGAAATCTTTGCTAATAAACTAAGTTTTTATTTCATTAATTTTAATATATATATATATATATATATATATATATATATATATATAATATATATATAATGGATTAATTTCTATTTTATTATGTAGTGAATTATTACTTTTAGTTCAGTGACATCACCCAGGAACGAATATGATGATAAGACTGTAGGAGATGGTTCCTCATCATAACTTGTCCTAAATGTCCAATATGTTATTTTGTTTACCTATATATCAAAAATTTAGTAATCAAAATTATTTCACTTTATGTTTATTACAGAATTTTCATTTTTCATTGAATTTTAATTTTTATTATTACATGTCCATAAAAATTTAAAGTATTGTAACAATATATATTTCAGATACATAATAGTTTTAAAATACTTAAATAAAAGTTAATTGAAGAAAATGTTGATCAAATTGAGGTTACATGTTTTGTTTTACATACATACGATTTTATACGGTAAAATGATAAGAGTTTAGGTTAAAAGTATATCCGACATATCCTTACCGGATTATCCCAACTACCGGTTAAGAAATGCTTTGCTTCTGCAAGATCTTCATGTTGCCACCTTATCTTAGAAATTTTTTCAGATATAAACGTTCCTTGTACATTTTCACCCATTTTCAGGTAAAGTCTATACAAATTACGAGAATAACTAGAATATGATAACGAATCACCTGACTCTGAGAATCGCCCGCCCAAATATCAAAAGTATCGCTAGTGCTGCGTTCAGAAACATCACTCTCTCGTGTGTTTCGTGAATCAGTGGAAAAGTAGTGGGGGTACCGTGTGCCTTCGGGTGTGTTCGCGAAGTCACTATCGCGCTACCAACTAGAGATGTCAGATTCTGAATCGATTCGATTCTTTCCCCAAAAATAGACTTATTTGTGTTGTTTGCATTCTTCGCATTTAAAACTAGACTTTCCGTATTTAAAACTAGACAAAAGTATATTGGAATGTTTCGAAGAAACAAAAACAAGACAACCAACTCGATTGTTTCTTCCAAGCGTCTGATTAGACGTCCATCTCTTTTTAAAAGTGAAAAGTATGAAACATGCAAGCAGCACGAACAACTCTTTTTCCCTAAATTTGTTAGGGAAAGAATCAAATCGATTAAGAATCGAACATCTCAACTACCAACGCAAACGCTACCAAGGACTTCACGAAATCAGTAACGCGATAGCGACAGTGAGTTCCATGAACAGCAGTAGCATTCAGGGTTGGGCACGTATTATAGTGAAATATTATACATTGTATTATACACTATATTATACAGTATATATATAATATATTTAGTTTTATACATATTATACTTCTTGTGGCGCCATCTCTACATCATGTGTGTAGTTAATTTTAACTGCGTTCCGGTATTCACAGCCAGTATTGAAAATCTATAGTTTACACAGTGCGACAATTAATTTTTAAGACTAGCACCATATCTCAGCAATTAGTGGCACCATCTGTTAAACATTTGTATTATTAGAAATATATATTTTTCTTCTTTATAACGCACCCAAGTTCATGCCAATCGGATGACAAATGACAAAGTTATGACAGTTCTTCCTAGTTTTAAATCGATGTTGAAATTTTATCATGGAACAAAGAGCAGTCATTAAATTTAACGCAAAACTTGATGAAAGTGCATCAAAAACATTCCGGTTGATGCAGCAAGTGTATGGTGATGCTTATTTAAGTCGATCAAATGTTTTCGTGTGGCATAAACGATTTTTGGATGGTAGAGAGTCGCTAGAAGTTGACGAACATATGGGCAGGCCAATGAGACAATGCTCATCACATTCTTCGATAGCAAAGGAATTATTCATAAAGAATTCGTTCCATCTCGTTACTAGTCAAACAATTACTAGTGACTCTCCAAATTTTGATGGCTAGAATCCGTCGTATCCGTCCCGAATATCGAAATCTAGAAAGTTGGTCGCTGTTGCACGATAACGCGCCATTTCACAATTCACTCATTGGCTTGGTTTATATCGTGCATTTGATACGCGTACTTGGTTAGTACGCGTACAAGTATAGTAACTTTCTATTAAATAATCTTAATATTGACAATGCATATCAACGACAACGCATTCAATCGACAAAAAAGTCTTCTTGATCAATATTATACCAGCTTAATATACCGTTATTTATATACATCGTCGATATTAAGATTATCTAATAGAAAGTTACTATTTAATACGCGTATCAAGTGCACGATGTAAACCAAGTCAATGGGCGCATTCAGTAGAAAAAGCGCTCAGTGAATAATCAACGATTATTGGTTCTTGCTATTAGATCCCTAAATCTAGACCAATTACATTGACAAATTACTCAACTGTTGTGCAACTGTTGAGTCTGCTGAATGCAGCCATTGTTCATCAATTTTTGGCTCGAAATCAAGTCTGTTCAATCAAGTGTGCTCAATCATCCGCCATATTCACCTGATTTGGTTCCATGTGACTTCTCTTTATTCCCAAAATTGAAATTAAAGTTGAAAGGATATTTTTTCGAAGATATTCCGACCATCCAAACAGTTTCAACACGGGCACTAAAGGTAATACCACAAAATGAGCTAGATCATGCATTTGAATAACTTTTGAATCGCTATAACAAGTGTACTGAAGCAAGAAGAGATTATTTTGAATAAATAAAACAATAAGCATGAGAATATTTTGTTTCTATTGCGTTTTATAGGCCCAGTCTTAAAAATTATTTGTCGCGTATACTATAGATTTTCAGTAATTGCAGTAAATATCAGAATGCAGACTTTATAGGGGATTTGCTAGCGTCATTACTATTATTCCAAGTTCCATATTTTGAATTCTCTTTTATCGCTAAAAGCGTTTTTAAAAGTAGCTGATAGCCAATCACAAAGCTTATAAAGCCATTTTTAGAGGTGTTTTTATCAAGTCTGTTCTTTTTCGTTGCACTGTTGCACTGGTACAATAAGCGCGAGACAGACATATATTTGTCTCACTTCAACTTATTTCAGCAGTACAAGGCTGCGTTCAAAAATCCTACTCGATTAGTAGAGTAATATTTAATTGGCTAATCAAGATAAAAAGAACTAAGATTTATTTATTATGATTGGTTTATTTAAGTAAAGCCAGCGGCACACGATGCTTGTTTTCATGCTGGATTGCTTGCTAGATGGAAATATTCTGTTCTGATTGGTGCATTTCTGAAGACGGACCAATCAGAATAGAGTATTTCCATCCAACAAGCAATCCAGAATGAAAACAAGCATCATGTGCCGCTGGCTAAACTCTATGGGTGCGTTCCCACTTAGCGCGTCTCGCGTCGTGTCGTCCGAGTTAAGCCAATCAAATCGTCCCATTTTATTGCGTAACTTTACGCCAAATAAAATGAGACGATTTGATTGGCTTAACTCGGACGACGCGACGCGTGACGTGCTAAGTGGGAACTCAGCCTAAAGCTTGTTTACATAATTATATTTAAGATCGTGTCTTAAATACATATTTAAAAACATTTTAACTAATAAAATAACTCGTACGGATGTTGTACATTATATAATAATGTAATTATTGTAATGTATTTAATGTTGTAATTATATTATATTACTAGTCAAAAATATTTGAGAATTTATTTAAGACAATTTTTAAATACAATAACATACTATGAATAAGCTTTAGCGCGCACTGGGTGCAAGCAAACGAATTCGCTATATGCTACCGACGATGTTCACGAAGCTCACCGAACGCTAAGGGTGCCATTACATGAAGTGCGGAAACGCGGAAACGCGGAAGACAAAACCTTACTAGATCAGCTACGCGTTCCGCGTCTGTTTTGATGGGAGCGGTGCACTTGGATACGGTGCATTTGGACACAGCCAATCACAGCACCGTGTGATTAGAGACATTTGTAGGGTCCCTTGGAACAGCGACTTGTGATTGGACTGTGTCCAATTGCCCCGTGTCCAACTGATATACACCCGTTTTGATTGCCTTATATTACATGAGGCATATTTTGAGCGGAAAAGCGGTATGGGGAATTATAAAATATTAATTTTTAACGGTATTTATTAATTAAAATGCTAATATTCAACAGATAAACTGAAGAGATAAACATATTAGTAAAAATTGCAGTAAATTAAGTTAATACAATTTTAAAAAATAAATACAGATGTTTATTTGTCACCAAACCGTTCCGCTTTTCCGCGCAAATTGTGCTCCATGTAATATAAGGAGAAATAAAGTCGTGGAACAAGCGCGGAAAAATCCTTTGTCACAAGTTGTCACAAATTATCACAAATTGTTCAATCTAACCGCCGTTACATTAAGACGTGTTCAAACACGTTCAGACCTGATATTTTTTTGGAATTCATACTAGGGATGGAAAATCGTCAGTTTAAAAATCGATTTTGTATCGAACCAACTAAAATCAATTTGCTAAAAAATCGGACTGAAGAAAATCAATTCTGTGAAAATCGATTAAAAAATCGTTAAATATTCTCCAAACCAAAAAATTTATTACGGTTCTGTGTAAGAAGTAAAAATGCGAAAAGTGAGCGAATCCACTAGATGTTGACCAATGAAATTATAAATATTCTAGTAAATTTGTTCACTTTTTGCATTTTCACTTCTCACACAAAACCGTAATAAACTCCCAGAGGGTAGAATGGCTGCGTTCAGCAAAGAAAGCTGCTTTGTAACTGTTGTAAAATTCGTGAATCTGATTGGTACATGTTCTTGGATTCAACCAAAATTAAAAGCATACTCCAATCAGATTCACGAATTTTATAACAATTGCAAAGCAGCTTTCTTTGCTGAACGCAGCCATTGTGTATCTCAAAACATAGTGAAAATTAATAAAGTGAGTAAATTTATTAAATGTCGACCAATAAAATTATACATATTCTAACAAATTTGCTTATATTAATAATTTTCATTGCGTTTTGAAATATCGACCTCCAGAATAATGTCTCTTGTACATAAAACACAGCAACGCGCGTCGTAAATTGGTTACACAATACGGCGATAGCCAATCAATGTGATTTTCTATAATAAACTTCTACTTTTTTTGAAAAATGTTAATTGGTAGTTCGTTATCGAGGTAGTTTTTAGCCAACTTTTAACATAACATTGACGCGTTCTATGTGAGTGAAACCCGATTGTACACAATCTCATCGGATACGAAATGTAATGATTAGTTAGATCTAGTTTGTTCTAGTAATTCACTAGATAAGTATTGGAATGCCGACAACGATAGGTGTTTTCCAATTGCAATATATCTAAACACTTTCATGCACACGGTGACACAAGTTGCATTCCAATTGTCATAATCATCGACACAACCTGCACATCCGTACTCAGCTCGAGGGCTACTAGTTGGCTGTGTAAACTAGTGTTTTCTAGTGAAAATTCAAGTTAATAAGCGTAGCGGTTTGAAAAAAGACTGGCATTTGCGACGTAAAATGGATAATATCTTTTTTATTATTTAGATTTTATTATTTATTATTAAAAAATACTAAAATATGAGCATAGTTGAAAAATAATCTTAATCCTACCCGACATACATATACATTAGTACACACTTTGTTCCAATTGAATCGTGCACAACGTTACACTTTGTGCATTTCTGTGTACATATGTATCAAGATGTGTTAAGCAATTGGAAAGCACCCGATATATATAAGTATCTACAATAACAATATTATAGAACAGGTCTAATAAAGGATTTATCCGATTCCGACGTATTATAATGCAGGATTCACACTGCGTCCGACGTCCG